AATCTACTGCCACCTTGTGAGAACACAGCAGAGGAAGGCGGCGCCGACTTAGCTGCCTGCTGTGTGTGAACATAGCAAGGGAAGGCGGCGCCGACTTTGCTCCCTAGTGATCAAGATGGCAGCTGCAGTCTGCGAGCGCCCGCCGGCTCACTGCGACAGTAAGGAACAAGCGAAGGCCGTGCAGCAGTCAGCCTGTCAGGTTATCTAGTTCTTGTGCTAGCATGGGCGCCGCACATGGACTAGATAGTTAGAGTTGTATAAATAGACATGTATGGCAATTCAAGAAAGAGAGCTCAGATTTGCCATCACACGTATGGGCTTGACCAACGCAAGGTATTGTATTGTGCGTGCTTGCTCTGTTCTCCCTTCCTCTTCTAGCTCGATCCATAGTGTGTGGATACGGACAACGCCGGTACGTGGTTTGCGCGGCTAGTGGGTGCTCGGCAACACTAGCGCGTGCTCGACGAGACCGGCAAGTGCTCCACTCGTCTGAGCCGGTGTTTGGCAAGATCGGCTGGAGTGGTTCACTGTCGTGAGCCGGTGATCCTGTGAGACCAACGGAGTGGTCTGGAGGCTATCTCGGTGGTCTGGAGGCTATCAGGTAGTGGTCGGAGGCTGTGGTCTCTGATCTAGAGGCTATCTGTAGTGATCTGGAGATCATCTCGGTGGTCGAGAGGCTAACTGTGGCCAACAAGCTCCGTGTGCGAGGTTTTTTCCACACTGGATTCAATCAACTCTGCGTCTATTGCGTGCTTCTGCTTGTCGGCTCTCTTCCAAATGCATGGACTAATTAATCGCATGTGTTCAGTTCAGTCAGTGCTTCTGAAGACCACAGCACAGGTCGTCAGTTACAGCTAGAGCTTCATTGTGCTGGCACCTGGCTCATCGGATGTTTCTGATCTGCAGCGATCTAGAGTTCTAGACACGAGTTATTTAAATTTCCCCTACAAAGTTAGAGATTCAGTAGAAAGAGACCTTGAAATTAAAACATCTTTGCTTCTCATCAATAATAAACTGTGCATGCAATTGTTTTTTTCTGAATCCCTGAATCGAAAACAGGCAGATTTAATTTTAGCTAGGAATTGTTCAGTTGTTGTCCTTGCACTGACTGGAGTTCATTTTCAGATGCCACTAGATCAGCTACAGAAAAGTTAAATTGGAACCTGCAGTTGAGATTTGAGATTGAGACAAAGCAACAGCAGGCAAAACTGAATCTGCATTTTGTCTCTATCATCGATCCTTATCTTTGGCGAATTGACATGCGACTTTTGGGGAATTGACAGGACACCGGTGTCTCCATTCTGGTCGGCCGCCTAGGTGTCGTGCGTTTTCCATTGTCTACTAGTAACTACAATAGTACTGTACCGCGCTTATGGCAATTGGCAATCTGACAGGACAATCGGTGATGGCGACCAGGCGACCAGCTGCATGCTTATGTTGGTCAGTGTCCAATAATCTGTCTCATGCCTAGCTTCTTGCCTCTGGAGAGGCTGATCTGATGGCGACAGAGAGAGGGATGGAAAGAGCTAGAGATGTCAATGATGACCCTAGGCATCAAAGTCTGAACATAAATGACAGTGCATGATTTTTTCCAAAACAGAAAAATGATAGTACATGCCATGCGTGCACAAGGCAGCACTTTGTCGCGCTCTAGATTCAACTCCAATGCACTTGAAGTTTTTGACAGTTCCGCGTGCAAAGGTTTTCAGCTTTCACTCTGGATTCAACTCTGAATGATAGCTCATTGTGCAAGGTTCTCATTCTGCATGGATTCAAGTAACTCTGATGTGCTTATTATTTGCAGTTTTAATTTCTCTCACAGCTCCTGTGCAAACAAGGTTTTCACACTGGATTCAACTCTGCCTCTACTGCTTCTGCTTGTCGGCTCTCATGGACTCTTATTAATCGCATGCGTGTTCAGTTCAGTCAGTGCTTGAGATCGACCACAGAGCGTCGGTCACAATTAGAGCTTCATTTTGCTGGCTCATCGGATGTTTCTAATCTGCAGTGATCTATAGCTCTAGACACGAGTTATTTCTCCTACAAAGTTTGACATTCAGTTGAAAAATGATCGTGCGGTGTGGTGATAAGTGAAGGACGTTCGCGCAAGGCATGAGGTTGCAGGTTGAAGTCCCTGCCAATACAGTTGTGCTATAAACACTTCCCTGCCCATAGTTGTGCTAAGTAGTTTTTTTTTTCTTATTTTTATAATTTTTAAATAAAATCTAAAAATAATTTTTAGCCAATTATATTGTCATCCCTGGAAATCTTATATTTTTTCACAAAAAATGTAAAAATCAATTTTATTAGTCAATTATATTGTCATTCCTGGAAATCGATTTTCAGGAGCTAGCAGTTTTAAACCGTCTGTCTCATTTTTACAGCGTAGTAATGGTTTTAACAACCGGCACTAATTAAAAATTGATTTTTATCGTCTCTGAAAACCTTATGTACGCTTGCCAGTAGGGAAGTTTCAGGGTTCAGACTTGAGCTGTTAACACTAATTAACTTTTAGGGTCGACTGACTTAACAAAGTTATTCCTGAAAATCAGTTTTTAGAGACGGTTGAGTTAATAGAAGTGCTCTTAAAATTCAATTTTCAGAGGCAGGTCTCTTTTTTTACAATCTAATGTAATGGTTTTAACAACCAGCACTAAAAGTAGATTTTGACCGTCGTTGAAAACTGTTTGCATTCACGCCGTTCCGGCACGTGCTACTCTGGAGCGTCCGACAACAGAAGACGACGTTGGTGCGCGCGAGGGACTTCGCCGTTCGTCACGCCCGGCTCGTCCAAGTGGAAGATATGCGGACCCGGAGTGGCAGTAGTATGTACTAGCTATGTGCCGAACCCTGTAAAATACTTAAGGAGGGAGAGAGGAGTGAGTAACAAGAAGGAACATAACAAACTCATCAATAGAACCGACCTCGTTCCGTCCCTATCCTTCTCTCTTGCGTGCTTGAGTTCTTCTTCTCCGATCCCCTTTTCTGCCAATTTTCTAGCTATTGCTAACAAAAACCTTTTGTGAGCTAGTGTTAACATGTGAGCTCGCCAGTAGGGAAGTTTCAGGGTTCAGATCGACGACTTGAGCTGTTAACACTAACTTTTGCATTGCGCACATGCCAAACAAAACGTTCATGGATCGATAACAGTTGTTAACAAAAAGTTCACGGAAGCTGTGTTAACAGTAACTTACTAGCCCAAGCCCCAAGGAGGTGAGAGCCCATCAGTGGCAACAGGCGCCGTGCAGTGCGTGCATGCGTCGTGCGCACTCCATGCATCCTGCCTTGGATTCTCATCACTGGCCGCCGCATGCAGCATGCCTTCCTTCCTTGTTTCCTCTGCTTCCTCCTTCCTCGACAACACTCCATGCATCCTCCGTCTAGCTAGCTAGCTTCTTTCACCACCACAGCACGTTAACGCATGTACTCTCCTCCATGCCATGCCTTGCCTTGCCTCGTCTCCTCTGCTTCTTCCATTTTCCTTGCTTCACCCCGAGCGGGGGAAGCTTAATTCCTTCTATGTATATATATATATATATCGGCACGGGAAGGACGACGGATTGGACCACATTGATCCTTGGGCTAGGCTGCTAGGGCATGGCCAAGACTACTCTACCAGGCAGCGTCTTCCACCTTCGTCGAGTGTAGTGCGCGCGTGCGTACGTCACAACAGCGGCCGAGGTCATCGTCAACCTCTCTCTCCTCCAAGTCTCTCTCCGCAGCATGTCATGGTATCCCAAGGCATCATTTTTCTGTGTATCCCTCTTTAGCTCTCTCTTTGAGAAAAAATCTATGTAGCCCACCCAAACTATTTGTGTTCGTCTACTTCACTTCCTCCACCCAAACTATTTCTGTTCGTTTACTTCACTTCCTTACCTAGAGGACCATGCATTTTACTCTCCTACTATAATTAAAGTATCCAAAACCGTTTAAATAACTCTTGAGGTGGATTTGAAGACAGTTGTTTTTGCTAACGTGGCAAATTATGTGGATGATGACATAGTTGTGGGTCAGCAAATAATATGAAAAGGTCTACATAATCCTCTAACATATTGAATGTTGACTACATAACTCACTCAACTATATAAAATCCTTATATATATACTGTAATGTTCAGATGACAACTTTGTAAATTTTACAGGGCTGTTTTGCCACCGTGATCCGCTAACCTTGTCTAATTACCCATATTGGCACATGGGCCTATCGATAAGATAGGTGGGCATGGGCCCGAAGGGAATGGGAACTTGCTACAGAGGTAGCCATGGGTGGAGAATTAAAGTGAGACGGGGATGTGGGAGGGGATGGCGTGAGTGCAGACATTGTGTGATCTCGATGCCATCAAGGAGCATTAGGTGGAGTAGGCGACAGGAGGTCGCGGGGCTACTCATAGAGAGGTAGGCTAGGCTAGAAAGAGATAACACACTAAGAGAAAGAGAGATAGGCAATGTGAAGTGTTGAGAATGAGAGTTAGGTCCTGTTTGGTTACCCCTCCAAAGAGTATTAGGAACTAAAATCTAGATAGAATTTGCCTAAAGAACCAAACACCTCCTCCTAAAACCACCTAAAAACTTTAGGAGCTCCACCCCCTCCTAAAACCTCCTAAAGTCCATCTGGACCCCCAACCCCTCTCTCTCTCTCTCTCTCTCTCTCTCTCTCTCTCTCTCTCTCTCTCTCTCTCCCCCCCTCCTCCCTCCCCCCCCCCCCCCGCCCCCGCCCTCGCCGCCCCCGCTCCCTCCCCAACCCCACCGCCGCTCCCTCCCTCCTCCACTCCCCCTCGCGCCGCCCCCGCTCCCTCGCACCTCCGGTCCACGCCCTCCCTTTGGCGGGGCAACACCGCCCTCAGTTCCAAACATCTGGGGCCCATCGGGGCTCCCATTGCGACGCACCCAGCCCCCAGGGCTCCAGCTCCTGCTCAGACCTCCCCCCTGGCGCGCGTCAGGGGCTCCCGCTTGATCCGCCGCCCCCAGCCCCAGGCCGCCCTCCCGCCTACGGTGAAGGCGATGCCGGCGTCGAGCTCGTCGTCGACGGAGATCGGGATGGAGCCCCAGTCGGCGCCGGCGGTCGGGGAGGCCGGGTGGGTCGCCATCGCCGATTCGCCTAGGGGGTTGTTCCTCCTCTGGCCCGAGATTCGCCCAGGCGGCTGGTGGTGCGTGGCGGCGGGGCGCCAAGCCTCTGATGGAGCTGGCCTCGCCGGGCAGGAGGCGGCGCAGGCCCGCGCCGAGAGGGCCATCACAAGGGAGGCTGCAGGGAAGAAGCGCGAGGTAGCAGGGGTAGGAGGAAGAAGGGCAAAAGTGTCTTTGTTCAACAGTACTTATTGCTTTGAGTCACTTTTAGGAGGTGGAACCAAACACATTTTTAGGAGGTTTTAGATGGCTGCTAAAAGCTCCTAAAACTTTTAACTCCTAAAAATTTTAGGAGGTGGGAACCAAACAAGACCTTAAAAAGAAAAAAAGGTAATATACCAAGTTATAGATGGATAGATCTACGTGCAAACATAGGTAATCAGACCAATGTCATTGTATACATTAGTGAAACAACCCTATGAACCGTATGTGTGCCATTTGAATGGTATTAGGGACTTAAGGGATATAGACGTACAATACTAGGTTTTACAGTTCAGAGGGGGTTATACAAGTCAACCCTCTATATGTTAGGGGTTATATAAACTTTTTTATGTTGTTTGCTTGACTCACAACCATGAGTCTGTTCGCTGGTTGGTTTCTAGGCTGATAAGCCCGGCTGGTGCTGGTTTGTTGTGAGAGAAAATATTATTGGTTGGCTGATAAGCCCTGGCTGAAACCAAGCGAACATGTTGCATGCCATCACGCCATCCACGTAATACGCCATGTAAGGAATTAAAACCACCTTCAAAAGGTTATTTTGATGGCTTTGATTCTTTGGGGGGGGGGGTAAAACACAAGGTTTTCTACGTGATGGGTGGAGTAGAGAAACACCAATACTTAGGGTGGTTCTGTAGACCTTTTCTCTTTCTTCGAATTCAAAGTTCTTTAACATGATTGAATTTATTAAAAAATATAGTAACATCTAGAAAATACGTCTGTCACCTAAACTGTCCAACAACACCTTTCATGCTAGTTGCTTTTTAAAAAGAAGTACAACATCTATATATCAAATTTGTTTCATTAAATTTTCCATAAAAAATGTCTTGATTATCTATTTAGCTGAACTCGTAGATATTAATATTTTTTTTCTAAAAACTTCATAAAAGTTAGAGAAATTTGAACTAAAATGACCTATAATTTAGAATCGAAGGAACATTTCAAATCGGTCCAACCCTCGCCCACGCAACCGTTGTGGTCACATATCTCTCCTCTAATGTTCCCTCTAAAAACATTTGTTGTAGGTGGTACTACGACTCCGAATACAACTGGACACGGGAGCTGAAACGCCGAAACGCTATATTGACCAATGAGAAGGATGAACTAGAGCGTAGGGCGCGGCGGTTGGAGCACCAAAAGAATGACCTGCAGAAGCAACTGGATGAGAGGAGGAGGGATGCGTATGTGTCCTCAAGAAAGGTCTCAACACTAGAGTACAGGGTGCGGAAATTGGAGCATCAAAACACGAATTTGTCCTGTGAGCTGGTGAAGCAACAGGAGGACACGAGGAGGGATGCGTATGTGTCCTCAAGAAAGGTCTCAACACTAGAGTACAAGGTGCGGGAATTGGAGCATCAAAACACCAATTTGTCCCGTGAGCTGCAGAAGCAATTGGATGAGAGGAGGAGGGATGCGTATGTGTCCTCAAGAAAGGTCTCAACACTAGAGTACAGGGTGCGGGAATTGGAGCATCAAAACACCAATTTGTCCGTGAGCTGGTGAAGCAACAGGAGGACACGAGGAAGGCGGGCTTGCTATTCATGAATGCTGCTGACAAGTACCAAGAAGAAGCAAGGAATCAACTTAGGGAAAAGGTAGAGGAATTGGCGAACATGAGGAATGCAGGCCTACTAATAATGAATACCGCTGATGCATACCAAGAGGCGGCAAGGAAGCAAGTTAAGGAAAAGGTGGGGGAATTGGAGGACACAAGGAAGGCGGTTCTTGTGCTGATGAACGCAGCCGATACATACCAACGAATGGCAAACAAGAAAATTAAAGATATGAAGGAGGAATTGAAGGTCATTGGGGCCCAGAAAGCAGAGATGGATGCAAGGGCAGCATCTTTGGAGGGTGATTATGACAAGGTGAAGGATGAAAATGAAAAGCTTAGGCTGAAGGTTGAGAGGCTCATGATGGAATTGGGTGTCTTCACTGAGGCAAAAGATGCAGCTGCAAACTCATGTAATACTGAGACACCAGAAATCATGAAGGAATTGGAAAATCTTGAAACAAAGGTGGAGGAAACTCAAGCTAGCATGGATTTGGTGAAAGGTGAAAATGATAAACTTCGGCCGGGTATTCTTTTAAGGGAACAGGAGGGGTTTCCTCCACTGATTTGATGTTGCAAAGAGCGCTTACCGCACTCAATCACTGGACGGTTTCCCCCCACTGATGGTTGTATATTAAGAATTTAGAAAAGAGCGACATCTAACATTTAAGATTACAAAAATAAAAAAAGATAAGCAAGATTACACAAAAGGGCTCTAGTCATAAGTCAATAATCATCAGGAAGTAAGATTTCTTTGCTTTGTGGATAACCAAGGCAAAAACATCCTTAAACAAAGATTTGCGGCCCGCAACACGTGTTGTTTGTTTAAAAAATGAGATCATTACGCCCCCCCTCCCCCTTTTGTGAGCTAGTGTTAACATGTGAGCTCGCCAGTAGGGAAGTTTTAGGGTTCAGATCGACGACTTGAGCTGTTAACACTAACTTTTGCATTGCGCACATGCCAAACAAAACGTTCATGAATCGATAACGGTTGTTAACAAAAAGTTGACGGATGCTGTGTTAACATTAACTTACAAGCCCAAGCCCCAAGGAGGTGAGTGCCCATCAGTGGCAACAGGCGTCGTGCAGTGAGTGCATGCGTCGTGCGCACTCCATGCATCCTGCCTTGGATTCTCATCACTGGCCCCCGCATGCAGCATGCCTTCCTTGTTTCCTCTTCTTCCTCCTTCCTCGACAACACTCCATGCATCCTCCATCTAGCTAGCTAGCTTCTTTCACCACCACAGCACGTTAACACATGTACTCTCGCTCCGTGCCATGCCTTGCCTTGCCTCGTCTCCTCTGCTTCTTCCATTTTCCTTGCTTCACCCCGAGCGGGGGGAAGCTTAATTCCTTCTATGTATATATATATCGGCACGGGCAGGATGATGGATTGGACCACATTGATCCTTCGGCTACTCTACCAAGCAGCGTCTTCCACCTTGGTCGAGTGTAGTGCGCGCGCGTACGTCGCAACAGCGGCCGAGGTCGTCGTCAACCTCTCTCTCCTCCAAGTCTCTCTCCGCAGCATGTCATGGTATCCCAAGGCATCATTTTTCTGTGTATCCCTCTTTAGCTCTCTCTTTGAGAAAAAATCTATGTAGCCACCCAAACTATTTGTGTTCGTCTACTTCACTTCCTCCACCCAAACTATTTATGTTCGTTTACTTCACTTCCTTACCTAGAGGACCATGCATTTTACTCTCCTACTATAATTAAAGTATCCGAAACCGTTTAAATAACTCTTGAGGTGGATTTGAAGACAGTTGTTTTTGCTAACGTGGCAAATTATGTGGATGATGACATAGTTGTGGGTCAGCAAATAATATGAAAAGGTCTACATAATCCTCTAACATATTGAATGTTGACTACATAACTCACTCAACTATATAAAATCCTTATATATATACTGTAATGTTCAGATGACAACTTTGTAAATTTTACAGGGCTGTTTTGCCACCGTGATCCGCTAACCTTGTCTAATTACCCATATTGGCACATGGGCCTATCGATAAGATAGGTGGGCATGGGCCCGAAGGGAATGGGAACTTGCTACAGAGGTAGCCATGGGTGGAGAATTAAAGTGAGAGGGGGATGTGGGAGGGGATGGCGTGAGTGCAGACATTGTGTGATCTCGATACCATCAAGGAGCATTAGGTGGAGTAGGCGACAGGAGGTCGCGGGGCTACTCATAGAGAGGTAGGCTAGGCTAGAAAGAGATAACACACACAGAGAAAGAGAGATAGGCAATGTGAAGTGTTGAGAATGAGAGTTAAAAAGAAAAAAAGTAATATACCAAGTTATAGATGGATAGATCTACGTGCAAATATAGTTAATCAGACCAATGTCATTGTATACATTAGTGAATCAACCCTACAAACCGTATGTGTGCCATTTGAATGGTATTAGGGACTTAAGGGATATAGACATACAATACTAGGTTTTACAGTTCCTGAGGGGGTTATACAAGTCAACCCTCTATATGCTAGGGGTTATATAAACTTTTTTATGTTATTTGCTGACTCACAACCATGCCATCATGCCATCCACGTAATACGCCATGTCGGGAATTAAAACCACCTTCAAAAGGTTATTTAGATGGCTTTGATTCTTTGGGGGGGGGTGTTTAAAATACAAGGTTTTCTACGTGATGGGTGGAGCAGAGAAATACCAATACTTAGGGTGGTTATGTAGACCTTTTCTCTTTCTTCGAAATCAAAGTTCTTTAACACTGATTGAATTTATTAAAAAATATAGTAACATCTAGAAAATACGTCTGTCGCCTAAACTGTCCAACAACACCTTTCATGCTAGTCGCTTTTTAAAAAGAAGTACAACATCTAGACATCAAATTGGTTTCATTAAAATTTTCCATAAAAAAATTGTCTTGATTATCTATTTAGCTGAACTCGTAGATATTAATATTTTTTTCTAAAAACTTCATAAAAGTTAGCGAAATTTGAACTAAAATGACCTATAATTTAGAATCGAAGGAACATTTCAAATCGGTCCAACCCTCGCCCGCGCAACCGCTGTGGTCACATATCTCTCCTCTAATGCTCCCTCTAAAAACATTTGTTGTAGGTGGTACTACACCTCCGAATACAACTGGACGCGGGAGCTGGAGCGCCGAAACACTAGACTGACCAATGAGAAGGATGAACTGGAGCGTAGGGCGTGGCGGTTGGAGCGCCAAAAGAATGAGCTGCAGAACCAACTGGATGAGAGGAGGAGGGATGCGTATGTGTCCTCAAGAAAGGTCTCAACACTAGAGTACAGGGTGCGGGAATTGGAGCATCAAAACACCAATTTGTCCGGTGAGCTGGTGAAGCAACAGGAGGACACGAGGAAGGCGGGCTTGCTATTCATGAATGCTGCTGACAAGTACCAAGAAGAAGCAAGGAATCAACTTAGGGAAAAGGTAGAGGAATTGGCGAACATGAGGAATGCAGGCCTGCTAATAATGAATACCGCTGATGCGTACCAAGAGGCGACAAGGAAGCAAATTAAGGAAAAGGTGGGGGAATTGGAGGACACAAGGAAGGCGGTTCTTGTGCTGATGAACGCAGCCGATACATACCAACAAATGACAAACAAGAAAATTAAAGATATGGAGGAGGAATTGAAGGTCATTGGGGCCCAGAAAGCTAGAGATGGATGCAAGGGCAGCATCTTTGGAGGGTGATTATGACAAGGTGAAGGATGAAAATGAAAAGCTTAGGCTGGAGGTTGAGAGGCTCATGATGGAATTGGGTGTCTTCACTGAGGCGAAAGATGCAGCTGCAAACTCATGTAATACTGAGACACCAGAAATCATGAAGGAATTGGAAAATCTAGAAACAAAGGTGGATGAAACTCAAGCTAGCATGGATTTGGTGAAAGGTGAAAATGATAAACTTCGGCCGGGTATTTTTTAAAGGAACAGGAGGGGTTTCCCCCACTGATTTGATGTTGTAAAGGGCGCTTACCACACTCAGTCACCGGACGGTTTCCCCCCCACTGATGGTTGTATATTAAGAATTTAGAAAAGGGCGACATCTAACATTTAAGATTACAAAAATAAAAAAGATAAGCAAGATTACACAAAAGGGCTCTAGTCATAAGTCAATAATCATCAGGAAGTAAGATTTCTTTGCTTTGTGGATAACCAAGGCAAAAACATCCTTAAACAAAGATTTGTGGCTTGCAACACGTGTTGTTTGTTTCAAAAATGTGATCATTACGCCCCCCTCCCCCAAACACTCCAACACATCAAAATAATAATCTACATGAAGAAAAGGCTACCACAATTATAACTTGAAGTCTTCCATAACTTGAAAAAGTGAGGCGCCAAGTGGAGCTTGCAAAAAAAAATCGTGAACGGCCTCCCCGGCTCATGTTTCATTAAGAGGAGATTAGAGTTTGTTATACAACATATATTGTCTGGACTCCCATGGGAACAACGATTGCTGCGCCGTAGAGAAGCTGAACACGATACAACATGTTTTACTTATACAATTATACGCGCAAGCCATAGCTGGAAAAAAGCTCCCACAATGCCTCGTGCTTGGACAACGATAGCGGCTCAGCGAAAGTCTTGTTGAACCGGTCGGCGAATGACGCATCCGTAGTCTCTTATGGAGAGTCACCGCCTTATGGCTTCCACTTCTTGAGGAGCACCTTCTTTGCTTGAACCTCCGACCTTGGATCCCGCATACGTGTTTTGGTTGCTTTTCCTCGGGATGAGCACACTATCCAAGCAGCGAGAGACGTGTAGCCTTGCGGGGGATGCGACCAACATGTCGACGACCGGAAGTTTAAGCAATTCTATCAAGCACTACTGGATTCAGGCGCTTTGCCGGGTGCCGAATGCACCCGGCAAAGGCTACTTTGCACTCGGCAAAGCCTTTGCCGGGTGCAGCACTCGGCAAAGAGCCTCCGACAAAAAGTTAGTCGGCAAAGATTTCTTTGCCGGGTGTTTTTTATCGGGCACCCGGCAAAGACTTCGCCGAGTGCAAACCCGGCACCCGCAAAGAAAAAAAGTGGTCGATTCTGGCGCGGCTCCTTCATCCTTGCTTTGCGGGTGCCATATCGAGGCACCCGCAAAGATTTTTTAATTTTTTTTTTCAAATTTTCTTTTGCGGGTGCTTGTCTTGAGGAGGCACCCGCAAAGATGTTTTTATTTTTTATATTTCTTTGCCGGGTGTCTCACCGAGGGGCACCCGCAAAGAGTTTTTTATTTTTTTTTCGTAATTTCTTTGCGGGTGCCGGTCATGGGGCACCCGCAAAGATTTTTTTTGAAAACTTTGCGGGTGCCTGGACTGGCACTTTCGGCAAAAAGCTGGGAATTCCTTTCAGAATTCCCGGCTTTGCCGAAAGCCGTGGTTGTGGCACCCGCAAAGCCTCAAAAATTAATTTTTTATTTTGTTTTTGATTCTATAATCACAAACACAGCATATAAAAGATATATATCACATCCAAAGCATCACAAAGACAATATAGCACATATATATCACATCCATCTCATCACAAACTCAATCCCACACATATATATCACATCGCGAATACAATACCTCACATACACGACATCACAAACATAATAGGTCCAATTACCATCGTAACAAGTCGATAGTGGATCACAATTGCATCACATGTCCATCAAGCGGTGAAAAAGAGATACAAACTAAAGGTGGGAGGAAACCGAGTGCACGGTGAAGGAAACTCGACACCACACCTTGCTTATGAGATGGGTCATTCAACCCGCCGACGGAGGCTGCATAAAGGACAAGAGATTCAGCGCTTAGAGTGGGTCATCTAATGAAAGCACTAGTCGAAGCAATATGGATTCATACTCACCGGACTAGCTACAATCGGGCGGCGGCGCCGGGCGAACATCGGCATAGGTACACCGTTCACTTGCCCAAAGTTCTCGCAGAACATCGTAATCTCCACCAGCCGCTTGGCTTTGTCTCTCCCTCCCGCCGCCCGCTTCGGCTTGTCTTTCCCGCTCGCCACCTCGGTCCTCACCGCCAGTCCCGCAGCTCTCTGAGCCATCCTCTCGTTATCGGCTGCAACATTTCAATCGAATGTTTTAGTAATGTAAAGGTAACTAAGTTATGTAAAGATCAATGTATGAAGAGTTAAACCGGACTAACACGGAGTCGTCGACCCGGGCTTTGTGAAGGGGACGGCCGTTGGCGTATGGCCGGGCCTCCGCTCGGGGTACTTGCTCGGATCTGGGAAGAGGGAGGGAACAGAGCCGGACTCGAGGGTGCCATCGCCAAGCCAGTACCGCCCATGCTTCTTGCCCTGTCCGATCCTCATCATGACGATCGTGCCATCAATGTCGCTCGGTGCTCGGATCCCGGTCCGCCTCGACCGACCTTAAGCGTCCAAGCGCGTAGGAGCTGATGCGGTGTGGGCGCTTCGGGTTCTTTGTATGATGACTGGTGGGTCATCCGGCTGAAGGTGACAGCGAAGTCGCCTTTCCCTTGTGGGCGATCCATACGCCATGAACGTGGACAAAGGCAGCCACCATGCGACGCCAATCTGCGAGAAAGACAACAAGATGATTAGAAGAAACATGCGAATGGAGCGTCGAATACTAAAATGAATTCACGTACCCAAGCTTGCTTGTATGCGCCAAGGCTCGCGGCTTGCCTTGGTGGTGTGTGGGGCTGTCGCTGCAAAGCCCGCTCCCGGTGGGCTTCGTGTTCCCCGGATATAACCCTCTGTGAACCACCTGTCCACGATCATCTCCCAAAGATCGGCAAAGGACTCGCACCACCATGGAATCATCTACATGTCATAAAGAATTTGAGATGTAAGACGACCAAATGAAAGCTACTTAATCTCAAAACAAATCAAGATTATTCTTCTTCATTTACCTCAATGTACTGCTCCTGTTGAGAGACATCTGTCTTGCCTCATGTCTTCTTGACTTTTCTCGACCAAGTCGCATGGCGTAGTACTTGATGATGCAAGTGAGGCGCCCTCGTAGTGCATGTCGATGATCGCGCTTCCGGCACTTTTCACCAAGTTCTTCTCCGCCCTCTCCTCCTGTCCCTCTTCACACTGAAAAAGTCTGCAGACAGACACAATGTATCAATTCATTATGTCAAAAAGTGTCAAATGAATGCGATGTATTGATCAAAGTTGTGCTGAACGAGACTTACCTGAACTCTCTCCCGACCCGCTCCTCGCTTGTCTTCATATTCTGCGTCGGGGCAGATTTGTAGTGGTCCCACGATTTGGTCTGGCCCCACAGTCCCTTTGTGCGTGATAATGCCGGGTAATAGTGCTCGCACACAAGCCCCAAGATGTGGTTGGGGTTGCGTGAGTCACCAGGCGACACAACCTCCCAAAGGCTCGCACAAGTCATTAACAAACATTATTAGTTTCTCTAACAATTTTCAACAAAGTTATATGAAGTAGTTGTGATTAAATCTAAAGTTAGTTACCTGTCCCCCCAGGGGCGGATCACTCAGGCGTGGGGAGGAAGCGGAGGCCCGTGGAGTTTTGAGGGACTCGTAAGTAGGGGCTAGCCAGCAGCAGAGGCAAAGTGGAACTACTTCCGGCCTCGCCGCCCTCCCCGTGCCTCTCCTCGTGTCCGTCGCCCAACCTCGTCCGTCGCTGAGAACCTCGCTGTCCTCCGAGGAGTCCGTGGTGCAGCGCTCCCCGGCACGTCACGCTGGCTCGACTAGAGGAGGCCGGCCCCTCCTGCTGCCGCTGCTCCTGGCCCTCTGCCTCCCCTCCCGTCCGGCGTTCTCTCCGGCATCTACGCCCTGACGTGCCCTCCTGGTACCTCGAGTTCACGTTCCTTGGCCCACCGCCGCCGCCCGCCATCTTTGTTCAATCACCGCAATTAAAAAGAAACAAACAAGACATCATTACATGTATTAGAAATAGATGCTAAGTAAATAAACAAAACACGATTACAAAATAACATAGTATTACATGTATTAGAAGTAATCATCATTATTGGGATTATCTAGATCATATGTCTCGTCATCACTATCAAAATTGTCCAAATAAACAAGACTGTCCAGAGGTTCAATGTTGCCTTCATCGTCATCATCTAAATGTAATCGCTCAAGCATTTCTATGTCCTTGGCATTTTGCACCTCATCTCCTTCTTCCTCGTCATCAACCATTTCATTGTCTACTTCCATTCCAATCACCTCGGTTAAGTCTATCACCAACCTCCCTTGTAGCCCATCTTCTTGATAGAACTCTCCATCATATGTGTTTGCGTTGAAGTTGTAATCTTCATCGTTTGGGACAGCTAGTCTACCATGTGGCGATACCTGGTGCACAATAGACCAACCCTGAAGAGCCTTGTTGCCTTGGCATGCGTATGACAAATAATAAACCTGCATGGCCTGATCCGCCACAATAAAGACATGTTTTCCTTGATAGATGGAATCGTGTCGAATCTCGACTTGACCAATATTAAGGCCCCGTTTCGTTAGTCGAGGATTGAACCAGTGGCATTTGAACATGACAAGACGAAGAGGTTTCGAACCATAAAATTCAAGTTCATAGATATCTTCAATTATGCCATGATACTCGAGGCCATCAGTGCCGGGAGTACAAACTCCGCTATTTGTGGTTTTTCGATGGGGCCGAGCTCGCTCGTAGCTTCTTATGTGAAAGCGATATCCATTCACATCATAACCTGAATAAGCTTTCACCTTACTGTCGAAGCCATTTGCAACCTGTCTCAACTCCTTACTCATAGTTGCATCGGTTTGGGCCTGCAAGCGCAAGAAGGAAAGATTGCCGAACTAAGTACGCGAAACTCGGAATCTCGAACTAGGTACGAGGTAAATTGGACAATACCTTTGTTTTGAACCAAGAAATAAAATCGGGCCTCCCTGCTCCCGGACCCCGTGAAAGAAGGGTGTCGGTTTGCCGTGGGGTAGGATCCCTTGGTTGATGCCAGGATACACGAATAAATTCCGTGTGCACATGAGAATAGTGACAGCGTATTTAAACAAGTTCTTTGAGAATAGTGACAGCGTATTTAAACAAGTTCTTTGAGAACTTACTCAATGAACGACTTCACCTCGGGTAGGTTGTGGAACACATATAGCATGATCATGCGCCACTCTTCATTTTCCAACCTCTTATTGGTCGATCCACTTGACCTGCCGAGTTGCCCTTGGAAAAGGCTAAGGTTGGATTCATTCTCGTCAACATTGTAGCGAGGGAGTGGATTATGCACGCTAGGAAGGTTCTCCGTGTAGTATAGCTGTGTGAAGTTTGTCACCTCCTCCAGAATAGAAGCCTCTGCAATGGAAGCCTCAATTTTGGCCTTATTTCTACATTTTTTGCGAACGGCCTTCAGACACCTCTCGATTGGGTAGCACCAATGGCCCTGCACGGCCCCCCCATACGTGCCTCATACGGGAGGTGCACAATCAAATGCTGCATCGACAAGAAGAAGCCGGGTGGAAAGATCTTCTCCTACTTACAAAGCAACTCATGTGTCACTTTCTCCAAGTTTGCAACCACGGTCCGAGATAGCTCCTTGGCACAAACCTGGCGGAAGAAATAGCTCAACTCTGCCAGCACTAGCCAGAGATGCTCAGGAACGTAGCCTCGTACCATCGCCGGAAGAAGCCGCTCAATCACATGTGGAGATGTCTAGGTTTTAGGCAGCCGACGTCGCAACTTGCTCGAAACTTTCTCAATTTTTTACCAGGGCATCCACATGTGATAACAAGACACATCGACAAGTTTCATGATTTTCGGACATCGTTTGGATTTTATATAATTTAAATAAACTTCCCCCGCGAGTACATCGTCATGTTACGACAACATGATGCGCGACATTTCATGCCACTTCCTGCATACGGCCTCGACATAGCCTAAATATCATGAATACTATTTTTTGAATGACCAAATTCTATTATTTCATGTACCTGCAGTTCAAATTTGGAATAGTCGGAAATATTCAATGAAACGGAAAAAATTAAGGAAATATAGTTAAAAAACTCATAATTGTCCCAAATTTTGAAATAGGGATATATTTACCGTAGCAAGTCCCCACAAAAAAATGGGGTCAAAAAACCAAAAAATAATAATAATTTGCCGGGTGCCACCTCGAGCACCCTAAGAAAGAAATTTAAAAAATTAAAAAATTCTTTCTTAAGGGTGCCGTCGTCACCGGCACCCGAAGAAAGGGTCAGTGACTAAAAAGGCCGCCCAAGCAAAAAAGCCTTTGCTCGGGTGCCGGTCATTGGGCACCCGACAAAGAAATTTAAAATTTTTCTTAAGGGTGCCGTCGTCACCGGCACCCGCAAAAGGCCCGTGACTAAAAAGGCCGGTCCAAGCAAAGAAGCCTTTGCCGGTGCCGTGTCATGGGGCACCCGGCAAAGAAATTTAAAAAATTAAAAAATCTTTGCCGGTGCCTAACGCGTGGCACCCGGCAAAGGAATGACGGCAATAATGGTCAGCCAAAGCCGACCACCTTTGCCGGCGGCCATATTTTGCCGAGTGTCCGGCACCCGGCAAAGACTATTTTTTGCCGACGGCTAGAATTTGCCGAGTGCCGGCACCCGGCAAAGGCTGCTTTGCCGGAGGCCTTTATTTGTCGGGTGCCTCCAGGCCTAGCATCCGGCAAAGAATTCCTTTGCCGGGTGCCCGATAAAAAGCACCTGGCAAATTTTTTTTGCTCCCGGCAAATCAGCCGTTTCCTGTTGTGAAGCTGAACATAGACTCTGAATTTATATTTTTTTCTTGTTGAATAATGCCAAATCAAATAAAAAATATCCAAACTGGCCACGCCAGGCCTAGCCTCATCCAAGGTGGTTTCCAGTCTCCACGTGCCCATCCACCAATGCCAGGAATGCTCCATCCACGTGAGGGGCCTCGAAATCTGAGCATAGAAAGGTGATAGCGGGCTCACCTTCAGTGGGCGAGAAGCCGGACACGGGTGGCTCCGGTCTAAAGATGCCAACGGGGACCCGATCCCCGATTCCCCGCGGGGAATTCCCCTATTAGGGGACGGGGATGGAGTCCGGTCACAGCAGCTCGTCATGAGCATTGGCCACCCAGTCTGGAAGCCAAGAGTCCGACAACTGCTCCATGGGCCCCACACCCAATGCGCAGGGGTCAGCGCTAGACCGACGCCCATCGACCAAAGCTAGAGACAGGCACCCAGTCACGCCGCCGACGGAATCCAGCGGCATAGGGTCCGCGCGATATGGTGATTCCAACCGATCACCTATGACCTCGAACTCGAACCATTGTCCTTTTGTAGGCATCGTCTGCCTCCCGCGACTCCTGGAACTGGCCGGGCCCGCGGGCGCCGTGTGCATGCGTGGTGCGCACTCCATCCTTCGTCCTTCTCGTCACCGGCCGCCGCACTCCATGCATGCCTTGTCTCCTCTGCTTTCACCTTCGATCTTCCTCAACAACACTCCATGCATGATCCTCCGTCTTGTCGTCGTACCCTCCTCCGCATTGACACTCAATGCATATCTTGCCTCGCCTTGCCTTCTCTCCTCTGCTTCTTCACTTGCTTGGCTCCCTCTCCTTTTCCTTCCTCCCTTATATATCGGCACGGGCAGGATACGACAGATCCGACCACGCACATTGATCCTTGGGCTAGGGCACGACCAAGACTGAGAGGCGTCTCCCACCTTCGTCGAGTTCAGTGCGCGTGTAGATAGGTGACAACAGCGGCCGAGGTCATCGTCAACCTCTCTCCTCCAAGTCTCTCTCCACAACATGCCAATATTATTGTATGTCATTTTTCTATACCCTATACTCTAAATTATAGATCACTTTAGCTTTCTTGGAAGGAAAAAAAATCTATGTAACCACCTTTACTATATGGGTGTTTGTCTACCTCACCTCCTCGCGTAGAAAACCATGTATTTTACTCTCTTAATTAAAATATTTAAAACAGTCTAAATAACTACTGGGTTCGAATGCCATTTTGTTGACGTGCATGCTAAATTAATTATGTGGATGACGCGGGTCACCAAATAATAAAAAAAGAGTTTACATAACCCTCTAACATATTAAGTGTTGGCTATATAACCTACTCAACGGTCAACTATAAAACACTAGAGTTCTTTTTGTAGGATTGCTTTGCCGTCATGGCCTGCCAAGCTTGCCTGATTACCCTTATTGGCACGTGGGCCCATCTATAAGATGAGCAGGCTTGGCGGCTTGCTAGAAAGGTACCATTGGAAGAGAAAAGCAAGAAGGAGGGATGTGGGAGAGGGAATGGTGTACGCATAGACACTATGCATGATCTCGATGCCGCCAAGGAGAGGTGGAGCAGGAGACAGGAGTAGGGAGGTTGGATAGGCTAGAACGAGAGAACGGAGAGAGAGAGGAGCGAAGGGAAAGCGGTGAGAATGAGAGTTAAAAATAAAGAAATATACCCAATTATAGATAGACCTAGCAAGCATGGATAATTAGACCAACCTCACACAAGGTACAGTGGTGAAACAGCTCTACAAAACCACCCGGAGACCATTTGAAAGGTATTAGGTACTTAAGGGCTACATATGTACAATACAAATAGTGTTATAGTCCAGAGCATGTTATGTAAGTCAACCTCTATATTGTACGGTTATATAGACTTTTCCTATTGTTTGCTGGCTCACGACGTAGCCATATTATCGCTATCCATGTAACATGCTACGTCAGCAAAACTGCCGTCAAAACCACCCCAAGAGGTTATTTATTAGATGGCTTCTAATACGTTAACGAGGTAAAATATGGTAGGGTTTTCTAGGTGATGGATGCAAACTTCTCAAACTCAGACTGAGTTTATAAAAAAATACAATAACGTCTACAACATAAGCCCATCACCTAAGCTGTTGTCTGGTTACATCTTTTATACTTGTTGCCTTTTTCCTTAAAATGCAACATCTACGACATCAAATTATAGTTTCATTAAATTCTCCATAAAATCTTCTTGATCATCCATTTATTATCTGAACTCGTAGATATTAATATTTTTTCTAAAACCTTGATGAAAATTAGAGAAACTTGACTTATGATAAAACTAAAGTGATCAATAATTTAGAATGGAAGGAGCATTTCAAATCAATCCAACTCCTGAACAATTAAGCAACGTGGTCCCATCTGTCTCTTTTAACACTCCCTATAAAAACATATGCTGCAGGTGGCCATTCTGGACGCTGAAGCAAGAGAGGGACAACCTAGAGAGGGAAAACAATTGCCTGCGCAATGAGAAGAATGAGTTGGAGAGTAGGGTGCAGCGGTTGGTGCGCCAAAACAATGAGCTACAGGGTGAATTGGACAAGATGAAAAGGGATATGGATGCGTCCTCAAGAAAGGTCTCAACACTAGAGTACAGGGTGTGGGAATTGGAGCATCAAAACACCAATTTGTCCCGTGAGCTGGTGAAGCAACAGGAGGACATGAGGAGGGATGCGTATGTGTCCTCGAGAAATGTCTCAACACTAGAGTACAGGGTGCGGGAATTGGAGCATCAAAACACCAATTTGTCCCGTGAGCTGGTGAAGCAACAGGAGGACACGAGGAGGGATGCGTATGTATCCTCAAGAAAGGTCTCAACACTAGAGTACAGGGTGCGGGAATTGGAGCATCAAAACACCAAATTGTCCCGTGAGCTGGTGAAGCAACGGGAGGACACCAAGAAGGCAGGTTTGTTGTTCATGAATGCTGCGGATAAGTACGAAGAAGAAGCAAGGAAGCAACTTAGCAAAAAGGTAGAGGAATTGGTGAACACAAGGAATGCGGGCCAGGTGATAATGAACACCGCCGATGCGTATGAAGAGGCAGCAAGAAAGCAAATTAAGGAAAAGGTGTGGGAATTGGAGGACACAAGGAAAGCGGTTATTGTCCTTATGAACGCAGCTGACACATACCAAGAAATAGCAGACAAGCAAATTAAAGATATGGAGGAGGAATTGAAGGTCATTGGGGTCGAGAAAGCAGAGATGGATGCAAGGGCAGCATCTTTGGAGGGTGATTATGACAAGGTGAAGGATGAAAATGAAAAACTTAGGCTGGAGGTTGAGAGGCTCATGATGGAATTGGGTGTCTTCACTGAGGCGAAAGATGCAGCTGCAAACTCATGTAATACTGAGACACCAGAAATCATGAAGGAATTGGAAAATCTTGAAACAAAGGTGGAGGAAACTCAAGCTAGCATGGATTTGGTGAAAGGTGAAAATGATAAACTTCGGTCGGGTATTTTTTTAAGGGAACAGGAGGGGTTTCCCCCACTGATTTGATGTTGCAAAGGGCGCTTACCGCACTCAGTCACCGAACGGTTTCCCCCCACTGATGGTTGTATATTAAGAATTTAGAAAAGAGCGACATCTAACATTTAAGATTACAAAAATAAAAAAGATAAGCAAGATTACACAAAAGGGCTCTAGTCATAAGTCAATAATTATCAGGAAGTAAGATTTCTTTGCTTTGTGGATAACCAAGGCAAAAACATCCTTAAACAAAGATTTGCGGCTTGCAACACGTGTTGTTTGTTTCAAAAATGAGATCATTACGCCCCCCTCCCCCAAACACTCCAACACATCAAAATAATAATCTACATGAAGAAAAGGCTACCACAATTATAACTTGAAGTCTTCCATAACTTGAAAAAGTGAGGCGCCAAGTGGAGCTTGCAAAAAAAAAAAATCATGAACGGCGCTCATGTTTCATTAAGAGGAGATTAGAGTTTGTTATACAACATATATTGTCTGGACTCCCATGGGAACAACGATTGTTGCGCCGTAGAGAAGCCGAACACGATACAACATGTTTTACTTATACAATTATACGCGCAAGCTTTCGCAACCAATACATAAATAGGGCTATCCTAATTAAGCCCAACTCTCATTCTGACAATGCCGTGGTGCCCACCATTGCACAGCCTTAGCTGGAAAAAGCTCCCACAATGCCTCGTGCTTGGACAACCATAGCGGCTCAGCGAAAGTCTTGTTGAACCGGTCGGCGAACGACGCATCCGTAGTCTCCTATGGAGAGTCACCGCCCTATGGCTTCCACTTCTTGAGGAGCACCTTCTTTGCTTGAACCTCCGGCCTTGGATCCCGCATACGTGTTTTGGCCGCCAACCTGTTGCTTTTCCTTGGGATGAGCACACTATCCAAGCAGCGAGAGACGTGTAGCCTTGCGGGGGATGCGACCAACATGTCGACGACTGGAAGTTTAAGCGATTCTATCAAGCTGGAAATGGACTCCGAATTTATTTATTTTTTTTCTGGTTGAATAATGCCAAATCAAATCAAGGCCGTGTTTAGTTGGAGGCCGATTCGGCGCCGCCGGATTCGGTGACACTGTTCATACACTGTAGCGTTTGTTTTTATTTGGTAATAATTGTCCAATCGTTGACTAATTAGGCTCAAAACGTTCGTCTCGTAGAGTACAACCAAACTGTGCAATTAGTTTTTGATTTCGTCAACATTTAGTACTCCATACATGTACCGCAAGTTTGATGTGACGGGGAATCTTCTTTTTGCATAGTGCCAAATTCTGAAAAATGGGGGAACTAAACATGGCCAAAAAAAAAATATCCAAACCGGACACGCCAGGCCTAGCCTCATCCACGGTGGTTTCCAGTTTCCACGTGCCCATCCACCAATGCCAGGAATGCTCCATCCACGTGAGGGGCCTCGAAATCTGAGCATAGAAAGGTGACAGAGGGCTCACCTTCAGTGGGCGAGCGCTACCCCAGACCAATTTTTCTCCGTCGGTGGGAGGCTTTCCCTGCGGCTGCACTGCCCAGGTCAGGAAAGCTGAATGGTTCCTGACGTGCTCAGAAGAACCGACCGGGAATCCAGCTGACCGACGTGGAAGGTTGTTTCGGGGGCAAAGCGCGCGCTGGCCAGAAGCTTTGGCGCGTGGCACAGAGTCCTGGGGAAAAAAGAGCGCGGACGAGGGCGCCGATACGCGCGAAGCCAGAAATTTCTTTCACCTGCGAATGGGCCCGAGGTTCAGTAGCAGGGTTGTCTAAGTGGGAAGCTATCCATCAGAGTTTAAGCCCCGATGATCGTATATTTTTTTGGAATTTTTTCATAATTTTCAGGATACACGCACGCAAGCAGTGCATGTTTTCCGCGCGCACAGGAGGCGACGCCTCCTAATCTCTTATTTGCGTGTGTACGGATGTGCACGTGTGTACGCGTATGGTGTAAGTGTGGAGTGTGGGGATTGCGTACGTCTAAGTTGTACGCGATAAAAAAAAAAAGAAATTTCTTTCCACCACCTGTGACTTATCCCTTCCCTTGACTTCCTGGAAGGGACAGAGAAGAGCGCAGCGAGGCCAAAGCAGGCGATTGCGGCGACTAGGATCCAGTAGGAGGCGGAGGCGGTGGGGGTGGGGGACCTGGGCCTGGGGTCCTCGAGAGCGAGGGAGCGGACGTGGGGCGGGAGTCACCACCTGGTGGGGCAGAGCCTGTCCTTGCCGCCGCCGTCGCCGCCGCGGGGGGACGCGACCTACTGGATCCTGGTCGAGGAGGGAGTTAGAGGATGCGGACGCGGACTTGGCGTCGCCCTTGGAAGGGGACCTGGTGGTGCGGGTCGCCGCCGCTGCCGCCGTGGCGTGCTGCAGCTCGGCCATGGCGCCGCCGGCGGCGTATGGGCTGCGGGTGCCGCTTCTTCTTTTCCCTTGCTCCTTCCGCGGCGACGCTAGTGTGTTCGTGGTGGGTGGTGGCGGAGGCGACGACAGCGAACTGTTTGGATCTCAGATTTTTGCAAGATTGGAGGTATGGTCTAGCACGTACTTCGTTTATACTTGTACGGGAAAAAGTCTTATATCATATTATGTTGAGAAGTGTGCCTGTGTGTACACAAGGTGAGAGGAGAAAGGACTTGGTTTTGGTGCTATTTCCCTTGAGCTAGCTTCCTGGGTTGGTCTCAGCATTTTCCCACTGCTGCTGCTAATGTCATGTTACTCTATTACTGCTAATATCAAAACTGTCATTGCTTTAGTCCGTATATAAAAAATTTGTTAGAGTTGCCATCAGGTTCCTCTGCCCCATAGAATGCTAGAACATTGAATTTGATCTAGGCATTGAATTTTATTGGGCACCTGCATTTTTTCACTCATTTGGTGAACTGACATGTACTTTTGTTTGTTCTCACTCCTCACTGAACTGTGCCTATTACAAACATTAATGTTTTATTTAGGAGTATGCTTCTTTCTAATTCCAGCTTTTACTTTGTACAACAATGTTAACGAAGACTTGAGTTACAAAACTATTTTTTTTGTACAGCTCTCTAAGTATGCACTACTATTATCATCTGATCTGATTTATCAAAATGTCTGTTTGCAATTAAAGGTCCAAAATATCCATCATATTGTTACTTAATTTTTTGCAGGTCATTGCTGACGAAAAAATGTAGAGATGCAACATGACATGCTTAAGGAAGAAGAATCTTACATGATAAGATTGTCCTTCTCACTTCATTTTTGCTCTTTGTTGACCTGTAGAGGATCTGATGCTCATGCAGTTTTGTTTTCTCTGGTTTAAATCCCAAAATCTTAAATTTGTTTTTCAGTCAACAATATGTAGGCCAGTGATAGAACACACTACTCTATTGCTCTGATATCCCAAGTTGAGAGAATTTCACATATTCCAAGTTCTAGTAGTACATCTTAATTGTTGAATCTGCTCATCTGCAAATTTATAAGACACATTTTCATTTATGCAAATATTATTAGATAATGGATGGAGTAGACGAACACCAATACTTAGGGTGGTTATGTAGATGTAACACCCCAGGTGTTTGCCACCAGTTAAGCAATGGGTTTGAGCTAAAACATGGTATATTAAGTGATGATGAAGATATCAAGGTCAAACCTATAGAAACGAGCCCCAACCTAAACTTGGATATTGCACCTTTGCTCGCCTATAGACCCCTTTTCAAGATATATGCTTGGGTGGTGTTATTGGAATATCTTCATATGTCTCACATCAATACCCATCTATATTGATCCATGGAAAAGTTTCGTGAAGTTTGGAATCAAAAAGTCACATGAAATGATAAGTTATATCCTTATTGGAATGACTTTGCTAAGTGCTTGAATTGCACTATTAAGTGAATGAGAACATGAGATGTCAACCAAACCTTGCAACCTTGCCAAAATGACTCTAGATGAACTCTACAACAAAAGTCATGAAAGGTTCATATTGGGCAAATGCCAAGAAAATGCTCCAATGGATCAAAAAGGATAATTTAAGCTTCATCGTGATCCTACTTTGGTCAAAGTAGAACAACAGGTTCTATACCAGTTTTGAGGTTGGACCTTAAATGAAAGTTGTAGTACATATCATGTAGAACAAACTTTGTTTTTGGACTAAGAGCTAGATCATCTTGGAAGCATGTCAAATCGAGGTCACAAGATCAAATTTGCTGCTGATTTCAGCATTTAGAAATATTCTAAGTCTGGAATTTCGCTAAGCAACGACGTTGGCATTCCGCGTTCTCTGAAATTCGTTAAGCAACTTGAGTTGGTCCAAAAATAAAAGTTGAAGGTTATATTATGGAGAAGAGCGTGCAAAAAGTTGCACTGAGTTTGACCGAGTTTTGACCTCTGAAGGCGAGTTCCCGTGACCGTTATCAACATGTTGACACTGCCATTTTGAGGCTTAATTACCCGCTGTTGAAGAGCTCTAATGACCTTGGTCTCTAAATGAAAAATGAAGAGCAGTTCGCGGGCTTCAAACTTCATTTTTGGCCCAAGGACTGATTCGGCCTGGAAGTGGCCCAAATTGGCTCCCCACGTCGCCCTCACCGATGCCCGCCACCTGTTCGGCAGCTTGCCCGACGTGGTGCGCCGATGCATGGACGCCACAGACTTCTTGCTGCCGCGTGCACAGCCTCATTGTCGCGCCCTGCTGCTTCAACCGAGCGCCTTAGCTGCCCTGGGTCCCATTCTCCTCTCCACTCTCCCTCCTCGGCGTTTTTCCTTGCGTGCACGCACGCCAGAGCGCGGTCTCCATGGGCGCCGTCGCTGAGCTTGCCGCCGCCGCGTCCTCGCTGCCTCCGGGCTTCCCCGCGTGCACCATCACCTTCTCCGTTGTGCGCCTCCCCTCCTGCGCCTCTTTTACAGTCACCTCGACCGCCGTGGCGCCGTCCGCCGCCGAAAGCGCGATCGTCGGCGTTCGCTTCACACGCGGCCAAGCGAGTACAGTGCCGCCTCCGTCCATGTCGCGGCCACATACGAGTGCGAGACAACCCACTGGTGCTCATCCGCCCCTCCATCGCC